TCGGCAGGTGCACAACTCCTTACTACAAATAAACTCCCCAAAGATGACTATGTAAACACTATTTTAACTGTGAACATGACCCTATTTAGCACTTTATTTCAGGTACCAGTAGTGGATTTAAGAGAGTCTATGAAGACCCTATAGTGAAAGGTCATCAACCTAATGCCAGTCAAGACGAGCTGTTGTTAGGGGAAACCAGAGCTAATGAGGTACAGAATATTGTCATTCAGTGCTTGAAACTAACAGTAGCACAAGATGCACAGACAGACTACCAACTTTTGTATAAGGGTTACCATTTAAAAAAAAAATATTAGCCCAACTGGACTACTATAAAAATTTGCAAAAAAAATCAATTTGAATATACATAAACCTGTATTTCTTCAAAACTAAGGATGTGTTACACAAATTAAGCAATACAATATTAATTTCTATCATAGTTTTAAATGGCGATGTTTCTCGTGCAGCACGTGTTTGAATTATTTTACATACGTTGTATACGATGCTATGAGTCCCATATATCAAACACAACGTGGTGCGGTGACTATGGCCCTTTCAGTGTTGACTAGACCTAATGGATTACCAACTCTGAAAATTTGGAGCCTAGCAAGCTTCCAAGAAATAACTTCACATGTGATTTTGTATTTAGTAAATAAACATGTTTCAGGTTTGTAGTAGCTATGCTACAATATGCAAATTATATCATTGATCTGATTAAGAATATATTATCTTATGCACAAGATTTTACTTATAATGGTAGCTTCGGGTCTGCATCATGGATGCTCTGGATTCAATTTTTGGTGATGTCCTTTCAATCAGTAGTATGAATCAGGGTATCAGACTTGTAAATACAATTTTTGGTTTGTGTACACTTCAATTAGAGATGCTCTTCTAATAGAGCATATACAATACACGTATGTATGCCAGGAAACAGTATTTGGGTCTTAATTCATTCTTGTTTTTTTTAATGATTTTTGTGCATGGCGACAGTTCTGTCTCTCCTGACTTTTTTTTGTTTTTTTGCTGGTGCTGACACATAGTGCATTTTTGCTACAAACGCCATATTCATTGGGACTACATGACAGGGCTGTGTGGCCATCTCTCTATCAAATGGCAATTTAATGTGCTATCCTTGCGTCAACCAGGCTAGGTCGAACACAAGCACCTGCGGACCTTAACCAAGGTTCCCCTAAAGTCGCATTCGTTAGTGAATGAATCTCGTCCAGTGGAATTGGCCTTCCCATTGAGTCTGTGGCACACTCACCCAGGGTAGAGGTCAACCCTTTTTGGTGTTCAGCCTAAGGTAGGATTTGAACTTTGGTCTACCAATCACGAGTCTGATGCATAACCACCATGCTACCAGTGACATTCTTACATTAAACAGATTTTCTTTGATTATTTTAGATTTATCTGTACATTTCAATAAAAATGTAAATATGGTTTTATTAGAGGTTTTAATTTATGCAAACCGACCTAAAGTACCTGATATACACAGTTTAGAAGTAGATCAGCCGTACCCTAAACGATGAATAACACACAATAGCATTAATTTGTGCTATGGACATACCGCTTAATGAAGAACATTGCGACCATTGGGTATTTTGGGTTTGAAAGAGAAGAATGGGGAAAATAGTTTTACAGAATTACGCAAACAACATCAAAAAAGTTATAGCTGTAAACAGTAGACTGCTTGTGAACTCAGAAGTTTTGACGACCCTCAAGATGTAATCAGTTCAGTGGGTGCGAATTTGCATCACTGCTTGATGTATCTTTAAGCACTGTATGCTAGTTCCAGGGCCCATTTTATTTAACCATTGTTAATCCTGTCGTATACGCACCTCTTAGATTGGTTATTCCTTAATTATATTAATAATAATATATTTTAAATTTATCCCATCTTTTTATATTCTTTCAGCTTGCCCGACTCACGGCTAGTTTTACGCTAAGAAGAACACAGGAAGTGAATACTAATTACCTCCCGCCCAAAGGTACTTGTCTTTAATACAGTATTAAATATTAAGAGTACCACAAAGCATGTTCTCAAAGACAGTGGTCATATTGAACATTTTGTATTAGATGTTTAAAACAGCTTCAGTGCAGTTACAGGCTGATATGACCTTTATTTATTATACATGCATGTAGTACCGGTATGTCATTTAAATAAGTCCGAATGAGTAATGAGATGATGGCTTTACCAAGAGTTCCGTGTACGCATGGGAACAGCATTTTAACCAATAGCGTGATAGCAACTTACTGCAAAACTCTGACATACTCGGTGCAGTGTACCGGGGTATTTAGAAAACAGTGTGTAGACAAGCACACATTGTCAGCCTAGCAATGGTATTCTAAATTAGAAAACGTTTTAATGCTAGGCTTAAGAGTCATTTATACATGTAGCTAGTAGAATGATGCATAGACCTAGCTAACAATGTGGTAAAATAAGTCAATTCACTATGTTCAATTGAACCATAGACCGGTCAGTCAAAATGACTATTTTGAACTGTAGTCATTAATCTGCAATTCAGCCAATGACGGAGAGAGAAATCTAGGTCAGGGGAAGCCCCATGACCTCATAGATTTTTTTACACATTATGTACGTAACAGAGGTCAGCAGGATCTTGCCTTAGGTTCACCCTCTACCTAATTCTATAAAAATTGTGTGGAATTAAGAGTGTGATGATTATAACTCTTCTGGATCTTTATTTGGGCCAGTGATTAAAAAATGGAGTGCTCACTTTCCTCAGAGAGTAAGGTCTGCTTCCTTATGGCCTATATGATAAATAAAATAATGTACATACTTTTAGTAGAAACTAAATCAATCTTTCATTTCAGTTGAAAGTGTAGTATTCTGTCGTCCTTCTAAACTACAACTCAAAGTCTACAATCAGTTGATATCATCCAGCATTATCAGATCTGTTCTCACCTCTAGCTACAATGGAATGACCCATCTACTGTGTCTGTCTGCTTTAAAGAAACTATGTAACCATCCAGTATTTGTGTATAGACATGCCAAACTACAAGATGAGACATGTGTTGATGGAGAGGAAAATGTCCAGGTATGCTGTGTTAACCTTTCCACCACCAGACTTTCTCCACCCAAATTTTCCTGCACTTTTTTCTTACATTCTTCAATATTTCTGCAAATGAACCCTTTTTACTCAAAAAATTTGACTATTTTTATCCCAATCTTCTGAAGAAAAAGTGCAGACTATAAATGGAACTATTTTGTGAATTTGTGATAAAAAGGTTAAAGCCTTTGAATGCCACAGTTAACTTTCATCACATTGCTCAAATAAAGTGTTTATTATTTTTCAAAATTTCTGATTAAGAAATGTCGGTGATGGAAAATTGTATGTATGTATGTACAAAGAAATTCTAGAAAAATTCATAAAATGTGCTACATTTTGCACTAAAATGTTGGTGGGAAAAATGATAGTTTTCAAAGGTTTTCATTTTGCAAGAAATAAATTTGTAGCACTAAAAATTCAAATGATGTGCACGCAAAGGATCATGTTGAACTTGAAATTTGGTTTTAATGAATCTGCTTATATGTAAGTTAATTATTCATGAATTGGAAGGAAACGTACATGTGCATTCATGTGCCCATGGTAACATTCAGAAACATGGTCACCTAATTTTGCTTTGTTGATGAATGATTATAAGCACAGAAACTATAAATATCCCAACAATTGTAAATTTGTCAGTGTACAGCAGCCAATCAGCACGCACACAACATTTTTTGCAGGTGTTCAGGTATTGAAAAATGAAAAATTGCTGCAAATCTCCTGAATCAAGAGAAATCATTTTAATAATTCTTTTGCAGTGATTATTTTACTTGATAACTTTTGTGTACTTTATTTCTAGGGGCAGCTCTACCAGAACGGACATATTTCGCATCTAACTCAACCCCATGCAACAAAAATTGATACTATGTGTTCATTATGGTCCATTCTTCCTCAGCGAACAAGTACATAAGTAACAATATAGTCAAAGACGAGAAAAACTGCACAAGAAATTTGCTTTATTTACACGTATCGACAATGCAAGCTGCCATGCGACTTCCCCTTCTGACGTCACAAGGGGAATTTCTGTATGCAAATGAGAAGCTAATGAGGAGCCTCGTTTTAAAATACACAAAAATAAAGTTGCCGTAGACTGACTTTAAAACACATTTTTTCACTTAAAAAAAAGAAATTCATGCTTAGAAACATAAAAATTAATAATATTTATATATCAATTGATAATTTTAGGCGTGAAAATAGCAGCCATTTCACAGGCACTTTAAAATTACATACATATCTTTTCACTGGAATTCAACAACCCCCTGTTCCTATTCTTTGATATTCGCCAACTATTGTTAGCATAATGCTTTGGCTTTTTCAGTTCAAGAGATTATGATTTCTGTTTGTGATTGAGTATGAAAGATTTTTTACATAATGAGTAAAAAAATTACATTATGTCCTTGGCTATAATTTCAAAAGTTTTAGTCAATTTTATGTGTCATGGAAATAGTGATAAACTGTAGCAGTGAACATTTCATCGGCATTCTTAAGGAGGTTCAGGTCAAATTGAACAGAATCTGAATATTGAATAATTATATGGTAATCAAAATTTTTTGCGGCTGTGTTGCTATGACAACATTTAGTCACTAGAAACATGCGTTAAACAATACACTGTTGGCAAAGTAATAAAGTAGACATATAATGTCTTGTGTTCGTCAAGTTTTTTGCCATCACTCCCATTTCTTGTAAATTTGTTTTATTTATATTTTTCAGGAAATCCTGTACAGGGATGTATGTTCTTCATTTCCTGAAAGGTACAGAGATGAAAGCAATGCTGTCGATTACACAGATAGTGGAAAACTCATTGTATTAGCAGCAATGTTGAAGTCATTTCATAATGATACCCCCCAGCAGAGAGTGGTAGTGGTATCTAATTACACACAGGTAAGGTATTGAGCTATGTAACTAAGATTTTATGTGGTAACTTTGCCATGCTTAATTATTGTAAAACAAAATCACAAGAAGTTGTAAAACAAAATGAAACTGATGCTTTTTTATATATAACATTCAATAAACTGTTCTATGGCAATGTAAAATCACTATTTTTCATCAATGTCTCAAAAAACAATATTAATGTAGACTGTGTTCAGCTTTGTCATTCAAAATGCCACGTACAAAATAAATTGAACAATATACATCTACCGTTTGTACTGCCATGTACTTGAAAAAGCCTCACAGAAGAGAAGATATTGACCAAATATTTATTTATTTCCATATTTTGTAAATTGAAATGGAAAATACAGAAGAGTTGTTTATACTGTCTCTTTAATGTTTGTATTACAGACCCTTGACTTACTTCAGCAGCTGTGTGATAAAGAAGGTTACACTTATGGTAGACTGGATGGTAGCACTCCTACTGCTACAAGACAGGATATTGTGAATAGATTTACTTCTAAATACTCAGATCAATGTAAGTTGCATTTACCAGTATTCATCATGGTAGTTTACAATCTACTTTATTTTATGCTTTTGTAGAGGGATCTTCCTCCCATCCCACAGAGTCTAGGCAAGAGGAAGATGACTAATTAAAACTATAACAATGTAATGTACATAGAAGTGCTTTACCTAAACATTTTACCCTAGAAATTGCAGATAAACGGAATTGTACAATTGTTTCCAGCTAAGAGTGCAGATTGTCATGTAATAGCCCACCTAGAGAGAATATATTTGCATGACTAATGAATGTTTTCAATCAACTTTTCTAAGATTTTGTGTAGTCCCAGTTTTAAAACTCCCAGCATAGAATTGGAAAAACAGCATCAACAGGCGTTGTGTTAATAAAACCACATGTTTTGGAAATTGTTCTAGATCTGAAAACAATAACAAATAAAATACAATCCTGTGTTTCTTCTAGATTTAAGCCCAGCTTTAGCATACCATAAATAACATGTATATTACAATGTTTGTATAAACATTTTTTTGTTCATCAGTTGTGTTTTTACTGAGTTGTAAGGCTGGAGGTGTTGGTCTAAATCTCATTGGTGCTGCCAGACTTATTCTCTATGATATTGACTGGAACCCTGCAAATGATTTACAGGTATCTTGTAATATATGGAAATTATCAAATATGAACTACAGATAAAAGTATGCAGACATGCTAATGATCATGAGAAATCCCAATGCAAATTTCATTTCTTGAAATGTTGAATGCAAATAAGTGAGTGAAAGTAAAGACCTCAGCATGAACAAATTCCTTGTAGATAAATGTGTACACTATTTTGTCTCTGGCCTCTGATTGGTTGAAAGTTACCAATAGAAGAGTCCCACCCATTGACATGTTACAGATAGGGATGGCATGTATTTGCATATTTATAATTGTATACCAATCCACAGAAATATGTAAAAAGCCCCTACCTATTAATCTTTTAGATGCAATAATTTTTTTTTAACATTTTTCACTCTTTTTTGTAATTTTCTGTAATTTTATTATTATTTTTAGTTCAAATGAATGTATTTTCCACTCCACCAACAATTCTTAATCAATTTCTTGGAAATAAAGATTATTTT